GGCTGATTATTTATATCATTAAATGATACTTTGTGGCTCCCTCGCCACCCAAAGATGATTCAAGCGCAATTAGCCAAGGATGTTTGTAGTTCCAAAATTAGTTCCGACGCATCCTACGGGACAATTTGTAGTGCACAAAGTACCAAAGTGGCGTAACCCAAACATTGTTTAAGAAAATTTGGAGAAATACGATGACACCTCTAAGTATGGTAAATACATACATGAGGGTATGTTTCACCAATTTTTTCAATGTTTTATATATGTAATTAGCATCGATAACGAAAAATCATGATATTATGATACAAAATGGGTAAAATGATGTCTTAATATGCTATAAACTACAGTAGTTATAGGGATATTAAAAACATTTCTACTAGATTGGGGGACCACGACCTGCTGCCCCCTAGTTCCGCCTAATCGCAAAGTCTTGAAAAGCTAAAGAACAAATAAAACAGGACTATAGCCAAACGTGTGTGTGTGTGTGGTGGGGGAGGGTTGGCGATTGAACAACTACAAACAATCGAATAATAATCTTCCTTGCTTAGACTGGTCTTCTTATTAACGATTACGTGCTACAAATATTTTATAGTAATAAATGTCGTTGTCAGGTGTTGTATCGGGTATCGGCTAGGGATGGATGCGGATGTCAAGATTTCTAGATATCCGAAAGATCCGATATCCGTATTCATTTAGTATAAATATGGATATCCGTATTCGTACTCAATCTAAATATGAATGGTAAATGGATGCATCCGTATTTGCTTTTGAAGAGTCTTCTCTATCTGATTCCCCGTTCGTATTCGACAAACTGTGACAAAGCCGGTACTATCTTAGTAACGATATAAAAATCTTAAGTTTAATTAATTTTAATATGCTAATCATATTAATTACTATCTTATTTTGTTTATATACTTGTGGAATTTATTTTTATTCATTTGAATCCAGCAATTGATATATAATATTTATAATTGTCTTATATTTCATATATTTAATTATTAGAATATTTATTAAATTATTTTATTTTTCTGTAGTTGTCTTTGTGCATGGTGTTATATAGCTATGTTTTAAATCCCTCTATCCATTATGGTTTTAGTATAGTATTAAACTATCGATAAGTAATAGATACTGTCATCCTCAAAATCAAGTAGATATCCGAATTCGAGATATTCGTTTTGCATTTGTATCTAAAAAATATACATACTCAGTATCTCAATTTAAATTAAAGTATGGTAATCAGTGGTATACGACCGTATCCGTCTGGCTCGATCCGAATCCATCCCTATCGCCTCTCTTCTATTAATATATGCATTTCATTACAATGATTGTAGGAAAGGCGGGATGCAAGCCAATGGTCATATAACTATTGTTGAATAGTTGATGTGTGCCTGCAAGCAAAGGCCGCTCTTTAGAATAGGGAAGGCTAGTGTACCTTGCCTTGGAATGGCATGGTTGTTAAGGCTAACATCTGCTACCATGCAACTACAAGGTAATCGCTACTTAACAGGGACCCAAGCAGTTGATGGAAAAGCGATGGCAGCTAGATAATCACATATATGTCCTAGCGAATCCATAAGTGTCTTTGGATGTATGGAAAAAACAAGGGTACATTCTTTGGCCCATAAGATGGCCAAATAGTATACTGGTATGTCGTGGATTGCATAGGTCAAACAATGCCTATTCTTATCTTGCTATCCTGTGTTTCCTCCTTATTAGTGGTATAAAGTAGAATTCCTTACTCATAAGAACTTCTCGATGTTGTTCAAATCAACTAATTCTTCATAATAGGTCAGCCCTTCCGCCAAACTTTTATATAGGGATTCTTTTTAACGATGTCCCCTCATGACACTACTTTACCAAACAATGGAAACCACAGACCTTACAAAATTTTGGCCTAAATTTACATACTCCACTTATTTGTCTAGTGTGTTCCCTTTGGTCTAGTTCGATTGTTCGGTTAGGCGATGGTGAGGTGGCATTGTAGGGGTAGTTGGGACGCCTAAGGTTCGGCGTTGACCTATGAGGCTCGCACTTGGTGCCCCATGCACAAGGTTAGAGGTGCACTTGACCATATGCCGCCAGATCTTCCTTTGGTTAATGTCCTTGCAACTTTGTAAAATAGGCTAGTGTAGCAACCTGGTCATGTATGCACAATTGCATATAAGGCACCTTTATCAGCACCCTTCTAAGCTGCTCGGCAATAGTTTGCTCGGGAAATTGAACCGCTCGAGCATACAAATCATGGCTCGAGACATGTTGAAGGGTCGTTCCCACATATATTTAAGTCATGAAGGCGGTAAAGCGGCCATAGCGCCAACAAAATTACAAGGATGGAGGGTGGAAGGAAGGAAGAAGAACAATCTAAGTGCGCTAGATTGGTGGCGCTCCAAAGAAAATTTCAACGTGGAGGTAAGCGGCACTCTATTTATTTTCCTCAGTTCATCTGGCTAGGGCCTAGCAAAGATCGTGAGGCTAGAGTAAACACACTAAAGAGATGTGCAATTGCATCAACCTTGGGTCCTTGAATCCACTCCGGAGGTTGTTCAAGGCATACTACTGGGAGGTCTATAATTTGAGTACCCTTGGAAAGGTTCGATGGGTCCTAGAACTTATCTCATCGAGTTTCCATCCATAAGCATCTTAGAGAAGGCTGCAATTGGGCAGGTATTATTTGGTTCCAATAATGCTTTGGTAGTGAGGAGATGGGAGGAGAACATAGGAGCACATGGAGCAGCTGCAAAGGTTTTGGGTGAGGATAAGTGGATTGCCTAGAGAATGTTGGGGTTGGGATGATGTAAAGGGCATTCTTGATTATTTCGTAAGTTTGAAAAGATGGAATGTGTTGAAGCCACCGGGGACAACCGTGACTATGTAAGGGCACTCATTATTACGGTTGGACCTGAACTTTTTCCCATTTTTGTTAGAGTTGGCATCAACTCTCAGCTTCATGACGATGTATATTCATGCTTTGAAACCGGACAAAGTATGCATCTCTCGAGCCACAACAAAAAGCATAGCGCCTCACGGTTGGCATCCGGGTTACCAAGTACCATCAGATAACAAATGGAGGAGTGTCAGGTGTGAAGAGAGGATACATTGTGCCTAATGAAACTGCAGAATCTATTGGAGCAATCCAATCCATGTCTTTCAATTTGGTCCTTATGTCCCAAACAGCCTAGAGGCATACTCCAAGGAATTGGTCCTTCACGACTCTCACGTGAAGGGCACAGCAGAGATGAGGCAAGATGCTGACCAATCAAGGTATGAAGCTATATTTAAGATATAGTCTAAGTGGGTTGCTGTTGCCTTTTCTACCGAGGTATGGGGTACACATGCACAAGGATATTTATTAATGGTGCACATGATTCTCACAGGTGCGAAGGAGCTACGCATGGAAGCTCAACCGCAGGATGCAAAAGGTATATCATTATACAAGTGGAGCTCCCAAAAAATCCCCAAGAGTAATTGGCTCAAATTTTTATTTATGATATATTCTCGAGTGGGCAATATCATTAATGTATTAGTTTACGAGATAAAGTTCGATTGTTTGAAACTATTTCTAATACATGATATCAAAACTCATGTAGCACAAACAGTGGTATATGTTTTAATTATATGTGTTACTGGGACACGTTTTGAGCCCATAATGATATAGGAGCTAAATGGTTTGAATATATATGTAGTACATAACGGCTTCAGTTTCTTACATAAGCCACTGCACTTGTACTGCGCAGAAACCACTAGAGCTTTTTCCAGATGATTTTTGGAATGAGCACTGTCTTAGGAGGAACCTGGTGCCATGAAGGACAAAGACGGACAACACAAATCTAGCGAAGCGGCACAAACAAGGAGGATGTCATAGGCGACATTAATCTAGGGAAAGCTACCACCGGTGGGTATGAAAAAATTTAAAGCCACGATGAAGGACGACAATGGTATCGGACCGGGTCATCGATGGCTACAATCTATCACTAAGTTTTGTATATTTTGTTCAACCTAGTTATGTTTCCTAATAGCAAGGTCAATAGTGGCTGCCTATCATAGCAAAGCACACTTTGGATGGGCTATGTATTTTATTCGATCTTTGGACATGATGTCTTTGGAGTTAGTGTTGTACTATGAGGACCTAATGCATGGAATGTGATCTTTTTTATTGAATCCCAATAATGACGTGCCATCGAATACCATTCTTTGGAGGTCTATTGCTATTTGAGTGTTAGAAGATAGTAGGCTAGGGGCATCACCAACATAACTCAAAAATAGGTACCTTGTAAAGCTGGAAACAGTCTCACATATAAACTATGGAATGGTGCCAAATATAGTTTTCTCATAAAACAAAATAATTAGGTTAGGAGCGTAGCACTAGAAATGTCACAAACGGCTAGCGAGAAACTCATAGGAGAAGATAACATTATATATTCAAAGCTACTTCACACGTAGGTGGTACAAAAGCGATCTTGGACAAGTACATCAAATAGAAAATGTCCTGTTAACTTTTTATTTAGGATTGGCTTCATACATAGGTGACACCAGGGCACCCAATCAGCCAAGGGACGAAATAGGACACGCAAGCGATCTACTAATTCTAGATGGATTATAGTACTATTAGGTACAAATACATCATTGCCATAGCACAAGCTACAAGGAGACTCTTTATTTAGCGATAGCGATGGGCGTGGTGGTGGAGACCATAAAGATGGAGCTTCACGCCTCACTTTGCAACTTGAAAGGATTGTTGGTCATTATATGGTCCATGCATGTTGTTTATACTTAGAAACAATACCAAGTAAATTAGATAACCTTTGTTTCTCTTTTTGGAAGGAAATAACTCCTTGCGAAAGCGAGATCGTGGTCGTTTATTTCCCAAAGACGTTTTCTGCATCGGGAAGATAAAATTAGAATGCTCCAACAAATAACATTTTATCTACCTATTTATACCAAAGAGGATATACTTGCTAAGGTCCCATGCAGGTAGTTCATGCATATACAAGACAAAGCTAACATTAGGGACAAAAGGCATACCCATGGCCCTCATGAACAGCACCAGATTGCCTCCTTTCCATTGGCGGATGAATTTCTTGGGGAGTGGAGGTACGAGCATTTAGAGGTGGAGTGCTTTCACCGGGAATGGCAGACTCTGTAATTGCATCGGACGGCCCATCACTTGCTTCTTTATTACCGGGAGTGACATTACCAGGAACACTTTCATGCACACTTGGAGGATTGAATAACCTTTCGGCCTGAAAACACAGCTGCCCTGTCCTAAAAGTCTGTTCACTTTGATAACTACTTGGAACACATAGCTGCGGGCCTACAATAGCACGCAGGCGGCGAGCAATAAAATCTGGTTTGGCGAACTTTCTTCCACAAGATCAGCGGCAGTCCGCCTTACGACCTGCTCAGCTACACCTCCAAACATAAATATTTTCCCACGGCCAGTGGCATCTTCGATGACAACATTTAGCTTGTAGCTATGCATGCATCGAGAAAGCGTATTAGGGAAACCAATGTTCACCACATAAAGGTTAGAGACATGGTCTTAGCAGATAAAGAACCTTACAGGAGCGATCACGGGCTCCGCCTCAAAGACAGCGGTTTACATTCAAACCCTTGGAGTGTTGCCTTCAAACCCTTCTTACATACGCTGCAACCTTTGTACCACCAACCATTTGTGACGTCTATTTCCCTTATACTTGCATGGCATGTAAAGCGTACATCCTAATGCAATGTGGAAGGCAACAAGTTAACCAGTACACTATAATACATATGGATATAAATATAAATGAGACCATGCATTACATTATCTTCATGGGGGTTTAAGGACAAGAGTTCGGACACAGTCTTCCTATTAGCATTTTCCTCGTCACAGCCACCAGCTGCAGCATCAGCACCCCCTGGTAGAAGTTGAACCTCAGAGCCTCTTCCTTGTAAGCTATGGAGAAAAGAGGGGAGCAAATAAGAAAAGATTCAAGCAGACATGCATCTATAGAACTTAACAAGACGAAAGAGAGTAACGCATACCTAGCACGGAAAGCATTAACCTCAGGGATGTCAATATTTATGTACCATTTCGTTGCTGCATGGCTCCGGCAGCTGGCCGAACCTATTTGCAAAACAAAAATGGATGCTTGGATCAGAACTCTAAATTTGATTCAGCACTAAATATCAATGGTTAGCACGAGTTAGCACCACCTAAAAATAGCCTTGCTTGGACCCCAGCAAAAATGATCACAACCACCTCATCGTTTCCTATAGTCTCAATAAGGAACTGGTCCTCAAAAGACGTTGCATGCTCACCCCATAAAGTCATCGATAAAACGCGGTCACTGCGATATTAAGAACGCAACCTATTTTAGTAACCTCTTTATAAAGGGTTTTCCAAATGACCGTGAAAAAATAGCAATCATACTCTAGATCGCGCAGCTCCACTTCCCGCCTTACAGATGGGCCATTCAAACTGCTAGAATGCACCATCGGATGCACGACAGTGAGTTGCCCAATGACATCTGTTGAATGAACACGTCATTAGATATAGTACAATAGGTATACCGCATTACAGTTTGTCTACCTAAGCATATAAGCACAATTTAGTTTTGTAGAATTCGTTAGGGTGAATACCTATTAAGCCATCCCCATGCCTTGCTTTATCATCTAAATCTCCAAAATCCACAAAGTTAAATACATAGAGCGGCAGGCTGGCGGACAACTCAGGAGGGATTTCTTCAATAATGGTCCACGGCGTGAAAAATATGGTGTACATGCTGGGTATAGCTACGAACTTCCGTGCTTGCTTGCTTGACTTGGAAATTTCTTATATAATAGGAATGGCCTTCAGACATGGATCTAGAAAACTTGTCAAGGTTTTTCGCGCCTAATGCATGTTGTGACCCCTAGGCCCTGTAGAATAATATAGAGAGTAAAGGTAACAAGAACAGATATATCTCAAAAACAAATTAGATGTGTTAACTGGTGCACCTCTTCATCAACGAGAATGAGTTCCATTGAGCTAAATTCCTTCCCTTGGAAGTGCCGAAAACTGCCATATCCTTGCGGCTCTAACCTTGACACGCCAATTGTACTTCGTTGGGTTAATCTCCGACAACATGTTATAGGCCATATCGTCGTTTAATCATAAGCAAAGGAATCATTAGACCGAGTACGACCTTGAAGAAGACGCAAGTTGTAAGCATACACCATTTAAATAGGCATTAACATGCGGAATAGAGGCTAACGATTGGAGCCATGGGTCGATAGTTACCACAGGCACTGAAGCACCTCCTTGTATACAATGTTCGGGTGACGGTGCAATCTGAATCAGATCATCATCAATTAGGACCTTAAGACCTTTCCTAGATGTTACGCGTGATATAGCAACATACGATTGCCCATGGCTAAAAACTGGGCGTGGCAAGTAGAGGCCAACATTCGCAAGGTTTGTCCTTGACTCTTGTTTATGGTCATTGCATAACATAGACGAATTGGAAATTGCCGCCTACTAAGTACAAAGGGCCATTTGGTACTTGATACGTGCAAAGGCAATACGAGGAAGGATAACTTTTTCAGCAGCGTGTGATCCTGTAATTATCGAGCCTCCACAACTCGATCACCTAATTGCGTTATTATAAGGCGTGTACCATTACAGAGGCCTGCACTTTGATTCAGATTGCGTAGAAGCATCACAGGCGAACCAATCTTAAGTGCAAGCTTATGAGGAGGAATGCCTTTGAACTGCAATGAATTAAGAAACTCAACTGGATAAAGCAAGTCTAAATTACCATGTTCCTTTGAAGACTCAACCAATGCATCTGAGCTAAGGTATACCTTTTCATGGCCTGGGATTAAAGAGAGGACACGTCCATTAATTTCATCGATAGTGTCATTTTTTGGAGAGATAATAGCTCTTTCCTTAAGTAGTAATTTGGATCCGAGTATAATGTGGCTAAGTTTGGGTATGTAGATCTTATTATATCATCAATGGCTGACTCTAACCTTGGGATTAAAACATCATGTGGTATTTCTACTAACTCGAGTCTCCATCATCACTATGCACAGTTCCTTGTGCAGTACCATCTCAATACTTAACACCCGGTCATTAAATTCTTTCACTTGCTCTATAGGTAACCCACTTTGTGCGCCATGGCAAGCAAAGCATGTTCACTTTGTAAGTCTTAGTATCTTAATGTGCTTCCGGATGTAGGAGTTAGTTATGGATGCATCTATGGTTTTGATCTACTCCCACCCTCGACAACAGGTAATACTTGGCGAAAATCTCCACCAAGTAGCACGTTTTCCCACCAAAGAGCTTATGAAAATTGGAAGAGTCCAGTTTACCAAGAATGTCACGCATGCTGCGATCTAGTGACTCAAAAACAGTGTCTAGGGGTCATTGGGGCCTCATCCCATATTATCAAAGAGCATTGGACTATTAAATCTGCTAGGAATGAGCCCTTCTAATCTCACAAACAGATGACTCATCAATGACTATAGGAATTTTAAACCGGGAATGTGCGAGACGTCCTCCGAGTGGAGCAAGAGTGCAGCAACCCTGAAGAGGCTACTGCAAGAACAATAAGTTTTTCAGACCGTAACCGTGAAATGATTGCATTCCAAAGAAATGTTTTTCCAGTGCCACCATAGCCATAAACAAAAAAACATTGGCCAGACTTTTCATAAACTGATTGTATAACAACATCGTATATATGTTTTTGCTCAAAATTTAATCGATTCACAAGGCTGTCATGGATATGCATAAGACTGATAGGATCATAAGCCAATTCCTCTGATAGCAGCCTATTTTTCACCTTGTTACAAAGGCTAAGATCAGGTTTCGGAAAACCATAGTCGGTCATCGATGCACCATTCTTACTAAATAAATTATCAAGCTCTACTAAAACATGGTTTTTAATATGCTGTTCTGGAACCGTATAGAATGGTAGTTGCAGCATCCTCTTGATTTTATGATGTATATCATCAGTGAAATAAGTATAGAACTCAGAGAACAAGGAGGGCACGTCGCAAACTGAACAAAAAAGTACTATAGTAACAAGAAGCTGGCGCATTTGAGCGGCTGATCCCCAGACAGATGCTTCTCTAAGAGCCTCACGCCACTCATTGTCATCTCCAAGAAGGCCAAGCGCCTGACAGGCATCTTTAAATGTTGGGTACATAACACCAGCGATAGTTCGAAGATCCTCATAGGATGTAGCACCTTTGGAAACATTCAAGAGCATACGTAGGTAGTACAGCTCACCACAGCTAGGGTTTATATATATAGCCCTCCCAATTTTCTTAGATCCTTTGCGGGGATACCAAGCTCTATCCTTTTTATCCCAAACCCACCTAGTAGGGAATTCTATATACGTTAGTTCTCGGGCAGATGGGTACACCCTATTAGCGCAAAACCACTCAGTCAATGTTGTTTTCAGGGAACGAGGGTCATCTACAATATCAGCTAAGGGGCGGTTAGCCTGGTACACAAGGTTGTTCATGAAAGGCAGGTGCACAGATAACCTCTCTACTGAGGGTGTCCTATAATGTATATCAAACTCGAACATACGCCAGACAGCCTCATGAGAGGATAAATAACGACAATCAATATACTCCCTAACTTCATCAATTTCGTCATCCTTTTTCTGAGTATCTACATGTGGCTGAGTGGTGCCATTGTTACCTACAGGGTGCTGTTGAGAGGGGCCAGCATGAGTGTCATTATCAAAGCTCTCAATTACAGCTCTAGCACGATCTGGACCCTTCGTGACGTACTTAAACAAATATTTGATTAGATGTGTCTTGTTGCACCATTCAACATTTATGTGGGCTCTAAATCTCTTTAACAAAGACAAGTTGTAAGGAACAACCCATCCTTTGTCAAGTCTAACCCCTGCACTCGCTCGACATAACTACCAGATTCGTGGACGCCTATCTTGCACGAACCCATCCTCACCAACAATTGTGCTTTCTTTGGTAAGCTTTAGGGAAAAATTTTGAGCACTTATTGTTCTTCATGCATGGACATTTTTGTTAAGCTCCCCACAAGGACCATGCACCATGAATTCGTCGACAAGGCTATAACCCAAAGGGTGCGAAACTCTATCTGGTATATCAGCAGTAATTATTGAATCAATAAACGAAGGCCGTGGGTCTCTCGAGTTACCTTCAAGCCAAAGCAAAATATGCACGTGAGGTAGACCACGCTTACGGAACTCGATAGTGTAGAGCATCAAACAGTAAAGCAACGGTAAGAATATATGGCATCAAAAGATAGGATCCCTGTGAGCGCAATGAATACTATAGTCGAATAAATCATATAGCATGCATTATTTGGTTACGACATGCTTTTATGGTAAACTAACACAGCGAGCGAGAGACAGGAATCTTGAAAGATCGTGTATCCAAGCAATGGGTAGGGGCTGTTTGGTACAGCTCACGGAGCCATTTTTGCTCTCCTTCAACCAAACGGTGGCAAGGCAAATGGCTTCACGCTTTCGAGTCGCGGAATATCCGCTAAGAGAAGAGGAGAGAGAGGGTGGGAGCTGAAAACGTAGCTTCCATCGGCGACCGCTCCGTGGGCCAAAGACACGCAACAAAGCGGATTTGCCCTCATTGGGCGTCCCGGCGCCGCCGGCCAAGCGCTGAAGCCGCTGGTCGCCGAGGGGCGAGCTGTTGGGGCGAGAGCTACGGTGCGGGCGTGGGGATGCTGGGCTGCGGGGGTCGCTACCGTGCTCGCGCTTTCGGAAGCCGCTAGTTGTAGGAGCCGCCGCTGGTATGACTGATGGGGTCGCTGCCGTGCTCGCTTCGGAAGCCGCTAGAGTGGGCCTCGCCCTATGCCGGGCCTGGAGTGTTACATTCCGTTAAAAAAATTGGTTTGCTTCTGTGTTTCTCACGTTGATTTTGGTTTGCGTCCTGTTTTTCCCCGCATTACTTATGTCCGTAATTCCCTTTCACGCTCCCCCTCTTTTTTTCTAATTTTGTTTTTCCTATATAAAAATAAAATAAATAAAAATATAATATTTTGAGCTCTGGACCTACAAATATATATTTTCACTATCAAATTATTAATATAGTTTTAATTGAGAAAAAACTTATATTATTATTATAATCCGGTTCAACAAATGGTCCAAGTAATCAAATCGCAAATTGAAGTCTGGAGAAGTTTGTTATCCAATCTAGTCTAATAAATATATCTCCAAAAGCAATCCTCGACTAGATCTACCGTGTAGAAACCGAGAGATGCTTCACGTCATAATCACCAGATACACCAGTCTTTGACACATTGGTAACTATATATACATCTTACTTATTTTAATCAGAGATTAAAATTACAATTTTTATGAGTCCACAAAGAAAGTCATATAACTCAAAATTTAACTATACCAATGGATAGTATGAAACTAAAATTATGATACATTTACAATAAATAGTTTTGTGCATTTTGCAACAGAAGAGAAAAAAAAACTATAAAGATTGTATTTTAAATTTGATACAGGCTTAATAGGGTATTGTCATATTATTGTGGATGACATAGTCATCATAAAAAAACAGCTGTCATATTATTGTGGATGACATAGTCATCATAAAAAAACAGCTTTAACATTTTATGAAAATAGCATAACATAGATAGATATGTAAATACGCGACCTCTTTTTCACGTCACGAACCCTGTGAAAGATGAAAGAGGTCGAGCCCCTGCGCGACGCGTGATTTCGACAAAGGCAAGCACGCCGCGCTAACCCCCGCAAATACCGATGTGACAGCAGTCAC